AGTGGATGGAGGTGTGCCATATCGAATTGTATCCTGTGTTGTGCAGAGGATAGTCGTGCAACCTGTTTCATGACACTACCATATATACCGTGCATGTTCAACTTGGAGATCGAACGGGCATTCTTTAGTGCAAATTGAAGAAAATGATTTCGTTGTAGTTTTTTTCAAGAGCATTTCGCATTTTTTTTTAGTGATTCTTTGGAAAGCAAAGAGAAGGAATCTGAAAAATGTTATCTTACTTGGTCAACGAGATTATTTTAAACATCTTATGTGTCTGAAGTTCATCTATTAAGATGGACTTGCTCATAAAGAGATTTTTAAATATTGCATGAGCTACAGACGGAAATCCAGTACAACCCTGTCAATTCATTAGATTCACGTACTACAGACGGAGCCTCGCAAATCAGAAAACACAATATCACCAACTATCCAAAAGGCAATAAGCAACAACGCCTCTAGCCAGCACTAACGGCCAAAAACTTCAAAAACTTTACACAGAGCAACTAAACGATCATATCAACAAGCTTAAAGCAAATTGCACACCATCAAACGCAGATGCTCCAATTAAAGCAAAGCTACAGATGAAGATCAATCTAATCTTCCTCGCAACACCGGAAGGCTTTCAAACCGATGCTTAACCTGATATTAAATCAAGCAAAGCACCGTGTCAAGAGAAACTGCTAATTGAGAGTGCAGGGTACCATTGCTTGCCTTCCAAAAGAAGTAGGCAGAAGTATTTCAGAAAAATTTAAGCAAAATCTTTTGAAGATATTCCCCTTTCCAGCAAGTTTAATCCAGGCCGAGGACATTGCAAAAGCCTTAATCTAGACTTCTTGAGAAAATTTACTTGGAGGGCCAAGATGTTTGTCAAACTTTCGTGCAATATGATGTCGTAAAAGATCAAGTGTGAAAAAAATGTACAACGTAAATACAAACTTAAAGCAACATTTATAGAACTAAATAGTATGCATATAATGAATTATCAGTATGACAAACTTAGAAGCATAAAGTCATGGCATTGCTTTTTGGATACCAAACAATATTGTGTCGAATTCAATAAAATTATGTTTTTTGTTATCAAATGTCAACTTTATTGCGTCAAACTATTGATCGACAATTGTATATATTGATAGGCCGAATATGTTAGTATCGCAACAGTTAACATGGTAAGTATACTTAGTACTCTCCTATTAGAGTGGTATATATGTATGGGCTGATATATAGTATTCATGTTTGATGCCTTTCAGGTCAGACGGATTTTAGGCAAAGTACTCTAACTTACGAGCTAGAATTATTAGCTTTAGAGAATTATGCAGTTAAGCTCTAGAATTTAAAGTGATAATTTAGCACTTACAAAGCATTGTAAATTAATACTATAAAAAAGAGTGCTCGTGAAATGCACGAGAACTTTGAACAAAAAAAAAAAAGAAATGCACGAGCACTCTTTTTTTTGTTTTTATACACTCCACAATTTCATGTATTGACATTTTAGTTTGGATTGTTTGTATACAAATAGCATTGACAATTCTTTTAGCTTGCATTGTTACAAGTGGATATCAGAATAAAGCTTCTTTCTATTGTAAAATGAAGTAATTCATGCATTGGATTTTTAACATTTCACTCAATTCTTGATGCAAATCTTTTTGACTGGAGTTGATTCAATATCTGAAGAGCATTGTTTTATTGAGTAACTAAATAAAAAGAATGCATTAAATAATATCTAAATGGATGGATTCACTATTGAACATACAAATTGCTTCACATCTTGCACCAACCAAGTTGAATAACAATTTTAATAAGCTTAAATATATTTTGAGTGGTAAGGACAACCTAGTTCACATATTTATAAAAGATAGCTACCCCTCGATATTTAATAGGAATAGGTATACATTAAATGGATTGTTGGATGAGAATAATATGCTTAGGTTTATTTTGGGTGGTAAGTAAAATCTATTTAACATTTTTATTAACATAACTACCCCTCGTTATTTAAGAGGAACCGCATACTTAGGTTTAACATTTTTATAACCCTTTGAAAATACAAAAATTGTGATTTTACTGTTTCTATTCCTCTGCATAATTATAAGAGATATCTTAATTCCTCTAGGCTGTGTATTTTGCATGTTTAAATATTTGCATTAGGAAACCAGTGGTATGAAGCAAACCCATATAAAAAAGGAGTCACTCCAAGCAATCTCAAAAGCTGAAGAGCTAAGGTCCGCCGGGTCCGTGAATCGAGGCCCCACGCATGTCAAGATTTTTCAAAATTGCTTTTCTCTAAAAATATTTTGAGTTATTCATATTAAATATTGTCTAAAGGACTAAAATACTCTTGTCTGAGGTTAATTTCAATGCTAAGCATGCATCACTCAATTGCACATCATTAATCAATTGCACATGAACACATCACAATTTAGGACTCATGCAAATTTACACGTCATTGCATATTCTCAAAATACAAACACAAATGGTGCACGGAGTAACGCCGGACAATAAATGACGAGGGAATTTTTTTGATTACGTATTTGAATAAAATCGATATTACGTCAATTATGTTTGGATATTATTTGATAAGCATTACAGATGACTTAATTGAAAAATGTGTTACCGAAAGGACGTCGTGGAGATATTGAGCCCTCCCTACACATAACTAAATACTGCTTGCAAATAACCAATGCTTTCACACATGCGCCTAGGTCCCAAATCAGCTCAATATTCTTAAATTGATTGATGGTGATTCTATTTATAGAAAATTTAGAGTTTTCTCATAACTTTTTAAAAACTTTTGTCCCGCTATGTAGACTCTCTTTCAGTGGAACAGGCCCCGATCCCGAGAGTGAAGACGAGATGCTATGATCATTGCCGGTGTCAATCAAACCATCTCTCATGAACTCGCAGGTGATTTTGATGAGGGTGGCTCATTGGTCGCCAAGAATGGCCATGGGCCTGGGGTTAGGGTTCTGCAGGGATGTGAGTGGAGCAGTGACAACAAGGGGAAGATCAAGGAATGGAGCGAGGAAAGATAAGAACTGGGCAAAGGTCAAGGAAGGAACTAGAAAGAGTTGTCCTGTAGTTAAAAAGTCTTAGCTGGAAAAGAAATTAAACAAGAGGAATGACAAAAACATTGAGCATTGATGTGTTCAAAGTGGTCTCCACCGTAAAACGACGTGTAGTAAGGGCTACAGAAATATCTACCCTCGTACTAGCCGGCCACATCTGAACGTTCAGTCAATTTTGGCGACATTAAATTGCAGCCCCATGAATAAAGCCATGTTTCTTGTCCGGATGTATTGCAAGTGGCTGTCCATGTCCTATGATATATTCAGAGAATCATCCCACTAGATCTACCCATTGCATTCAATTGCTAGCAAAATAAAGGCAAATGTGTGTAAAAAATTACATTCCAAAAGAAAAGAACATATACAAGACTTATGATATGTTATCTGAATTATTTTAGTTAGCAAAAGAATTAGAAATGCGTATTAGCGAAAATTGTTTTGGTCTGTTCTCCATTATAGATTACATTTTTTGCGAGTCTAAGTTAATGCTATTGACGGCTCTTTGGTTTGTCTGAGAATCAATAAAGAGAGAGTGCACTGAAAGTCCTAAAAATACAATTTAGGAAGCATCGTAGGTCCTGTAGGGCCCTTGCCTGCTTCCCCTAAGGAGTCGGGATATCAAGCCGCTAGGTTTTTTCCTCTACACTTTCTTGGGTTTATAATATTCCCTACTACTAAGAAAAATATGGATCCCCTACTTACTCACATAGTCAATCAAGTCGTGAAGATATTGTAGGAGGATAATGTGGATTTCAAGAATAAGTTCAACGGATCAATTTAGAGTTTCTGTATGAAGGTTTATCAGTTTGATACGACAATATTTAACATGCTCAAAGTGAGAGCGATAAATTTCTAAGCGGGATCAAGAGCTTAAATATACTCGATAAAAATAACTTTTTTGATGAAAAATAAATTAACAAAAGAAAAGGAAAGTTCAACGGTGCAAGCACTGGACTAAGCGTGCCCAACATCACTGTCTTGACGCTCTGTGTCATATATTTATCTATTCTGAGCACTTGTCTGGAAAATATAATGGTACTCAAGTAACGTGGAAAAAAAAAATAATGCCATTGCTTGTCAAGTGTGCAACTTGGACCGGACGAATATCTGTCTCTCTTTTTCTCCCTCCACCCACTTTTCATCTTCTCCCGCAAGTCCCACTTTTCATCTTCCAAACATGTGGTTGAAATTTTGACAGACCTTACCTGTTATCTTTGGATTCTCTTCCGCAATGAGATTTCAGCCGCGTGAACGCAACGACTCTAAGCACGTGGCTGTGGTTCCTGGTGAATGAATTAAATGTAGCTTGACAAGTTTGACTTATTGGCGCGATTGTGGTTGCCAACTGGTTCCGTTGTATAAATCAAACCACAAGAGAATGGGCCACCATAAGCCATTCCCTGTTTCCTGACAGCCATTCTGGTTCTTTTCTTCGTCAGACTTGAACGCAAAAATCAAGGGCAGAGTCGGAGCAAAGACGAAATGCATCGTCTCATTTTCGGCCATTCTTTCGCCGAGCTCGTGGCATTGATCCTGCTCCCTGGGCTTGCGTTCTATTTTCTCATTAAGAAGAAAGCTAGTGTGCGTGAAAATGCAGAAGATGCTGATGTTGGAGCTTCCGGTTCGTTGATTGCGCCGACAGAAACTAACTCCGGTGGATCTAGTTCGTCTTCGACAGAAACGAATGACGGTGCATCTAGTTCGTCTCCGACAGTAACTGATTCCGGTTGATCTAGTTCGTCTCCGACAAAAACTAATAACAGTGCATCTAGTTCGTCTTCAACAGAAACTAATTCCGGTGGATCTAGTTCGTCTCTGACAAAAACTAATTCCGGTGGATCTAGTTCATCTCCAGCGGAAACTAAGAACGGTGCATCTAGTTCGTCTCCGACAGAAACTAATAACGGTGCATCTAGTTCGTTGAATGCATTGACTGGAAATTGCTACGAGGTATTCTTGAGTTTTAGAGGTCCAGATACTCGAAAAGGCTTCACCGATCACCTCTACAATGGGCTCCTTGATGCTGGAGTTGATGCTTTCAGAGACGATGACGAGCTCTGCCAAGGTGAGAATATCGGACCAGAGCTTATGGCAGCCATCACGAACAGTAAGATCCTGATCCCTATTCTCTCCGTGACTTATGGTACAAGCAGTTGGTGTCTTGATGAACTGGTTCAAATAATAGAGCGCAAGAAAAATAAAGGGCAAATAGTGTTGCCTATATTCTATAAAGTGAAACCATCTGACGTGGGACATCAAATTGGAAGTTTTGGAGATGCATTTCATAAGCGTGAGACGCGTTTGCTTGAGAGGCATTTCGACCCAACGATTTTAGAGAAATGGAAGCAAGCACTCCTTGAAGTCAGCACCTTGAAAGGATACAATGCCAATGGGTAAAAATTTTCACCAAAACATTCTCTACTTTCTATTAATATGTATGGGTGTTTATTGGTTGTTCTGATTCTCACCTGCTTCATTTTCATTCATTTTTTTATATAAAAAATAGTAAGATCTTGCTGGCAATAAGATCCCGCATTGCATGAGTTCTATAAGTTATTTTTTTTCTTCGTTTTTTGCTTTAATGATATTGACCAATCTAATTATAGATTCTATTGTTATGATCCCATTCTCCTAAATAATAAGATTTTTTGAATGAATTTTTACTCTTATATCCAAAGATTTTGTAAATTCTGCCATTTTTATATCACGTCATAGTGTACACTACATTAATCTTTGTCACAAACTTTTCTAATTACATATTTATTTGAGATTAACAGTACAACTTATTGGTGATTTTTATTTGAAGCTCATAACATCATATACCGTGCATGGTGATTGTCAAAGCCATAATTCTTTATCTTCCCAAGTAACATTTATTAAATCATTAATATCGTTGATTAGTTGCTATTAAAATTATTTTACAAAAAAAATGTTACATTGGTTATTTATGATGATGGTAAATATAGAAAAAGGGAAAAAAAGGATTATTTTTATTATATGTTTGTTTAAATAATTTTCAATGGATTTCCCATCTTCGACAAGTAATTTCTATCTCATACACCTGCATATATTGAAGCAATGTTCTTATTTTCGGTAAAAATCATTCTGCTACTTCCCTATAAAATCAATATTAGATCAATTGAAATCATAGAACATAGATACTCCAAAGGAATACAACCTGTAATCATCCCTAGAGGCAATGAAAACAGATAAGAACACCAATATAGAATGATACTAAATTCACAACACAAGTAGAACTTGCAAGCGTGTACAATTGCACAAACAAGAAGAAATCCCCTTTATTGCATTCAGGTAGTTCACAATATCACACTCTGTATGACTTTTCGGATTCGTATCACAGGGCCTGATATCCTCTTGCATCAGAAGTTATGATGTGCTTACTGATTGATGGCTAACTCTCACATTGGGCTGGCTTATTGGTTTTTTGCTTATTCAAATGCTCTAGAAAATTTTCAAAGTCACGCACATCATCCCTAATATCGTTAATTAACAAGAAGTTTAAAATTTCGTTTAAATCCATAATGTGCACAATACTCAAGATTCAAAAGCGATACCCTCAAGTTTCTTCTGGCTTAATAAATAATGTCTGAGTAATAGTTGAATAGGTTACGCCATGTGAAGCAACCACCGGCATTTCCCACTTTAGTCTTAGCATATAAGATAATACATGGAGGGGTGACAAAAACGGTTCATAAAGTTTTTCTATTTATCCCCAGATTTATTTATTACTGTGTTCTCAATAGATAAAAAAATATAAAATTATTGTTGCCACATATTTGAACTCTTGTAACTTTTGACAGATATGAAGCAAAGTTGGTGAAAGAGATTGTCCAAAAAGTGTTGAGTGAACTGAAGAAAAAGTTTGAGTTGGTTACTTCCGAGAGTTTGGTCGGAATTGATAGTCATGTGAAGACGGTTATGGAATTTGTGGATAGTAAATCTCACACCACCCTATTTGTTGGCATCCACGGAATGGGAGGCATTGGTAAGACTACTCTTGCTAAAACCATCTACAACAAGCTCTCCAATCAATTTGAGCACCGTAGCTTCATTGCTAATATAAGGGAATCATGGAAGCATAATGGTGTATGTTACTTACAAAATCAGTTAATCTATAATATATTGAAGCGAAAAAATGAAGTTCATAATGAGGATGAAGGGACTAAGTTCATCTCCTCCAAGTTTAAAGGTAAAAAGGTCCTCATTCTTCTTGATGATGTGGATAATGTCATTCAGTTGAAGCATTTGACTGGTAATCATGATTGGTTTTCTTCTGGAAGTAGGATCATTATTACGACTAGAAACAAGAGTATTCTTGAAGAAGTTGGGGTGGACTACGCCTATGACCATAAGGAAATGGATAGAGATCAATCTTTGATTCTGTTCAGCAAGCACGCATTTCGAAAGGACTCTCCTCTAAAGGAATTTAAGGACCTCACTCAGGAAGTTGTATCCATCACTAGAGGACTTCCCTTATCCCTTGAGGTTTTAGGTTCATTGTTGTGTGGAAAAACGCTAGCATTCTGGAGAGATACAATAGACAAGTTAAAAAAAGTGCCTCCTAAGGAAGTGCAAGAAAGGTTAAGGCTAAGTTATGAAGCATTAGACTACGAACAGAAACAAATATTTTTGGATATCGCTTGCTTTTTCATTGGCACTGACAAGAGAATCGCATCCTACATGTGGGACGCGTGTTGCTTTTTCCCTGAGGAGGGAATTGAGGTATTGAAATTCATGTCATTAGTAACAATTGGAGATGATCATGAGCTCCGAATGCTTGAACAATTGAGAGATCTTGGTAGGGAAATAGTTCGCGAGGAAAACCGGCGGGAGCCTCAGAACCGGAGCAGGTTATGGGACTCCGAGGAAGTCCATAAAGTGTTAAAGGAAAATAAGGTAATCATTTCGTTCTTTTGCACTTAGTCCATGTCTATTGTTAGAGTAATGTTGGTCCACTACTTAGTGCTTGCTCTATTGATCAGATAACCTTCTACTATTATTGGCCTTGAATGTGTCATTGACATGATTAGAAAGTAGGGAGGTTGCTCTCTCTTAGTAAATATTGTAGTGTTATCTGAGATTTTCCTTATAGTGTATATTACGAAATCATCTCCAAGGATGAGATACTTCCAAATTTTTTTAGATAATTGATAGGGGTATTCAATGTTGGCAAGATCTTGAATTTCTATAATTGTTTCAATTACGTCTTCGATCACATGCAATAAATAACTTGACTATGCTACTATTAACCATAACTACTTAGGATATACAAATCATTAATTTCTAGATGTTAAAATTAATATTATAGGACTAAGATGCCTGCATTTCTCATGAAATTTTCTCCATTATTCCATAATGGAGAATGAAAGGGATACTTATTTTTATGTAGTATTACGTTAGGAATTCCATTTACCAATATTCATAAGAAAGGGACTCATTTAAAACTTACCAAATAAGATAGGAATAGAAATTCCTTATATATAATATATGTGTGCGTATGTATATATATAACTTCAAGCGTATTTTATGCAATGACCATTAAAAAGAGAAATGTTTTACTTTTTCTACATAAAATGTCCAAGAGACAAATACTCTAAAATTCTAATTTGTATAATTAAGTATGTGAGTGTATTTGCATTTGTGAAATTATTCATAATTTTGACTCTACTACTTTTAATCCATCATTTGGTTTGACTCAAGTTGTTGCTCAAAAGACTAGCCCTTATTTGCAATCTCAATGTGCGACCGATGTATAATCTCAAGAGCCAATTCATATATTAACAAATTCAAAGCTAATATCTATTTATTATGTCTTTCGTACTACATGATTAAATAAACTAAACTAACCAAAAGAAAAATGAATATAATATTTTACAACTAAAAAGGTATAACTAAATTTTACAACTAAAAAGGTGCATTTTTATATAATATTTCAGTAAGTTTCGATGACTCCATTTCGCTCTTCATTCATGGTACTATTATAAAAAGTAGCCCATCCTTTTGCATTGGGACAAAAATAACATTACCTTTCAAACTCATCCTTTCACTCATGGGACAAAAATGACCCACCATCAATTTTGCGTATTCTCACTTTCTGTCGCTCCGCATCATCCTATGTAGCTCATTGCACGAATATGCACAATGAACCGCACTAATCATGACCAAGAATGACTTCTTTTTTCTTTTTTTACAAAAAGCCAGAAAGTTTGTAAGAATATAAACAAAGTTTGCTAACAAAATTATAAAAATAAAACACGACATCTTTTTTTGTGTGAGTTGACATGGCTCACCAAATACATTGGCACTGTGAGCAGCGTAGGCTAGCCATGGCAATTTCACGATGATAATGGATGAAATTTGTAACAAGTGTTAGCTTTGTTCTACAGTTAAATAGTTGGGCTATTTTTATTACGGTGGAAAGGTTATGTTATTTTTGTCATAGATGCTGAACGTTAGGCTTTGTAGACATTTGAAAGGTTTTGCTACTTTTGTTCCAAGTAGGCTTGTAGCCAAGAATAGCTTCAATTTTCACATTTCGCAAATGCTTTGCACTTTCAGCAATTATTTTTTAATATACATCAAAGTTATTAGGGGCTGTTTATTATATTTATTAAACTTGGGTAACTCAGTTATTTATGATTATGATTATGTCAAATTGAAAATTAATGATGAAATAATAAGTTGTAGAGAATATTAATATAACTAATATTATTGTCTTAGTTATTTATAATTAGAAAGTAATTAATTAACAATATTTCAAGTTGCTATTAGTAAAATAATAAGTACATAGCATATTAATATAATTGCTATCACAATATTCAGTTTCTTGTAATTAGTTATTATTGCAATGGAAAATAAGAGTATATGTTTTTTTTTAATTAATCGTATAAGTAGCACAGTCAAGTGATATACATGAAATTAATATGAAATTTATAGAGAGGAAAAATATATTTCTATTAAAATTGATCAAATCAACGTTTGATTTTGCACATTGCAATTTTGTTAATTTCGTGCGTTGCACGCATGTCCCAACTAGTATGGTAATGAAGCTACAATACCGGAAAGAAGAAGATTACAAGTTGTACAGTTTTTACTCTATATGAGCCATTGCATCATAATTCTTTTTAAGATCCGAATGCGTGTGGTCAAATTTCAAAATGTCAATGCTGTTTATTGGCATAAAAAAATGATGTCTTCACCTTGCTAGTCTCTTGAACACATTAATGCACATCAATAGCAATATGAACAGATAATGCTAGATTACTTTAGTAGGATATAGTATTAATGAACGTTGATTATTGCTTACAGGGAACAGAAAAGATTGAGGCAATTCTTCTGAGTGAAGGTAGCGCAGAAGGCTCCGGTAAAACAGTCGAGCGAGATGGCGACATTTACACAGAAAAACAATTCAAGAATTTGACCAATCTAAGATTCCTTCACGTGGAGGGGGCACATCTCAGTGGAGATTTTAAGGACTCAATTGAGGGGTTAAAATGGCTTCGATGGCAAAAATGTCCCATGAATTTTGAAGTAAACAATTTTCATGTAAAGGAACTAGTTGTACTCGAATTGTCACAGAGCATGATAAATGAGAAATGGGAAGGATGGAGTTCCTTCATGGTAAGAACAATTCTTTTTTCTTTTTTTTCCCTTTTATGCTTTCTTTTGAATCATAATCACTATAGACTAACCCCTTGACAATCATTTTTTTTACCAGATGGCAAAGAAGCTCAAATTTCTCGACCTCACATCTTGTGAATCCTTGGAAAATACACACTTCCTCTCAGCTTTTATAAATTTAGAGGTTTTGATCCTTAGTCATTGTTATAGCCTGCGGCAAATTGACTCTTCAATTGGAGACATGAAGGCCCTCCTTTGCTTAAATTTGTGCTGGTGTAGGAGCCTCAAGGAGCTTCCAACAGAAATAGGTACATTAGAAGCACTGGAGCAACTCCTTCTACTAGAAACTCCAACCCTTTCTACATTACCAGACAGCATAGGATCTTTGCAGAATCTAGAGATTCTAAATATTTCTCGCAGCGGTATAAAAGAATTACCCAACGGTATGGGGAGGCTAAGAAAGCTCCGAGAGTTCGATGCTTCATTTTGCAGCAAGCTGAAAGGGGAAATGCCGAAAAGCATGTGTAATCTGTCTTCCCTACAACGCCTTGATGTTCTTGGCTGCACCGAGCTCCAGTCGCTGCCGGACCACCTTCCTTCCAGCTTAACATATTTGGGCATCACCTGTCAAAGCCACAAATTGCCTTCACTTTCCCACTTAATCCATCTCAAAGAACTACAAGTTCATGGATACAAATTTCTCGAGTGCATCCAGGAGCTTCCATCAACACTCTTAAAGAATTCAGAATGCTCCCAACTCAAAAACGTTAAAGAATCAAAATTACCACAATCCCTAAACAGTCCCATCAAGTTGGAAATCTTGGAAGTCCATCACTGTGAATCTATTGAAACTCTGGAAGTTTCACAGTCTATCCATCTAAAGACATTATCCGTCGAATATTGCAAGAATCTACTTGAAGTTCGAGGTCTTGACAAATCGATATATTTAGAAAGCTTGACTATTGCATGCTGCAATTCAATTGAACGGTTGGACCTTCCAAGGTTCAAGGGTCTGAAGATTTTGAATGTTCATGATTGTGATAACTTAGTTGAAATTCAAGGTCTCGATAGGTTGGAATTCTTGGAAAGTCTAACAATCTCTCGGTGCACTTCAATTGAAAGGCTACTCCTTCCAAAATCCGGGAGTATGAAGATATTAGATGCTGAATTGTGCAAAAAATTAGCCAAAATTCAAGGCCTCAATATGTTGAAGTTTTTGGAATTGCTAAATATACAAGGGTGCACTTCGATTGAAAGGCTAGACATTCCAAAATCTGGGAGGCTAAAGGAATTAGAAGCTCGAGACTGCAAAAACTTAGCCGAAGTTCAAGGCCTCGATAGGTTGCAGTTTTTGGAAAAGCTATATATTCAAGGGTGCACTTCAATTGAAAGGCTATATATCCGAGGATGCACTTCAATTGAAAGGCGAGAACTTCCAAAATCCGGGAGAATAAAGGAATTAGAAGCTGGAGGCTGCGAAAACTTAGCCGAAATTCAAGGCCTCGATAGGTTGGAGTTTTTGGAAAAGCTATATATCCAAGGTTGCACTTCAATTAAAGGGCTAGACCTTCTAAAATCCAGGAGGCTAGAGGAATTAGAAGCCGGAGGCTGTGAAAACTTAACCGAAATTCAAGGCCTCAATGGGTTGGAGTTTTTGGGAAAGCTATATATACAAGGGTGCTCATCAATTAAAAAGCTAGACCTTCCAAAATCTAGGAGATTGAAGGAATTAGAAGCTGGAGGCTGCGAAAACTTAGCCGAAATTCAAGGCCTCGATAGGTTGGAGTTTCTGGAAAAGCTATATATCCAAGGGTGCACTGCAATTGAAAGGCTAGACTTTCCAAAATCAGGGAGGCTGAAGGAATTAGATGCTGGAGGCTGCGAAAACTTAGCCGAAGTACAAGGCCTCAATAGGTTGGACTTTTTGGAAAAGGTATATATCGAAGGGTGCTCTTCAATTGAAAGGCTAGACCTTCCAAAATGTGGGAGACTGAAGGAATTAAAAGCTGGAGGTTGCGGGAACTTAGCCGAAATTCAAGGCCTCGATAGGTTGGAGGTTTTGGAAAAGCTTTATATCCAAGGGTGCACTTCAATTGAAAGGCTAGATCTTCCAAAATCAGAGAGGCTGAAGGAATTAAAAGCTGGAGGCTGTAAAAACTTAGCTGAAATTCAAGGCATTGATAGGTTGGAGTGTTTGGAAAAGCTATATATCCAAGGATGCACTTCAAAGGAAAGGCTAGATCTTTCAAAATCTGGGAGTTTAAAGGAATTAGAAGCTGGAGGCTGTGAAAATTTAGATGAAATTCAAGGCCTCGATAGGTTGGAGGTTTTGGAAAAACTTTATATCCAAGGGTGCACTTCAATTGAAAGACTGGACCTTCCAAAATCTTTGAGGTTGAAGGAATTAGAAGCTGGAGGCTGTGGAAACTTAGCTGAAATTCAAGGCCTCAATAAGTTAGAGTTTCTGGAAAAGCTATATATCCAAGGATGCACTTCAATTGAAAGACTAGACTTTCCAAAATCCGGGAGGCTGAAGGAATTAGATGCTGGAGGCTGCGAAAACTTAGCCAAAATACAAGGCCTCGATAGGCTGGAGTTTTTGGAAAAGCTATATATCCAAGGGTGTTCTTCAATTAAAAGGCTAGACCTTCCAAAATCCGGGAGACTGAAGGAATTAGAAGCTGGAGGTTGCGAAAACTTAGCCGAAATTCAAGGCCTCGATAGGTTGGAGTTTTTGGAAAAGTTATATATCCAAGGGTGCACTTCAATTGAAAGGCTAGAACTTTCAAAATCCGGGAGGCTAAAGGAATTAGAAGCTGGAGGCTGCAAAAAATTAGTTGAAATTCAAGGTCTCGATAGGTTGAAGTTTTTGGAAAAGCTATATATCCAAGGATGCACTTCAATTGAAAGGCTAGACCTTCAAAAATCCGGGTGTCTGAAGGAATTACAAGCTGGAGGCTGCAAAAACTTAGCCAAAATTCAAGGGCTCGATAGGCTGGAGTTTTTGGAAAAGATATGTATTGAAGGGTGCACTTCAATTGAAAGGCTAGATCTTCCAAAATTCGGGAGGCTAAAGGAATTAGAAGCCGGAGGTTGCAAAAACTTAGCCGAAATTTTAAGGCCTCAATAGGTTGGAGTTTTTGAAAAAGCTATATATCCAAGGGTGATTTTCAATTAAAAGGCTAAACCTTTCAAAATCCGAGAGTTAGAGTTAGAAGTTGGAGGCTACGAAAACTTAGCCGAAATTCAAGGCCTTGATAGGTTGGTGTTTTTGGAAAAGCTATATATTCAATGGTGCACTTCAATTGAAAGGCTAAACCTTCCAAAATCGGGGAGTATGAAGAAATTGAAAGCTGGAGGTTGTAAAAACTTAGCCGAAATTCAAGGCCTCGATAAGGTGAAGTTTTAGGAAAAGCTATAAATCGAAGGGTGCACTTCAATTGAAATGTTAGACCTTGCAAAATCTGGGAGTCGAAAGAAATTAAATGCTAATGACCGCGAAAACTTAGCCGAAATTCAAGGCCTTGATCGGTTGGAGTTTTTGGAAGATCTGAGTATCTTTGGATGCAAGTCACTCAAAACAATTCTAGAAATATCTCAAATGCGGATTTATCAAGAAAAAGCCATTTCATATAGCGGAACAATAGAATTTGGATCAGACTATACAGATGACTTGGATGAGTAATATACTGGAAATGATTCACATTTTCTAACAAAGGTACATAAAACAGGTCAGTTACCTTTGCTCTTAGAGATCTACCACCCAATTTTCATTTGTATTTTTGCTTGCAATATCTTTCAAAATTTATGATATTGTCAATATTATTTCCTGGTTGACAGTGGCGTCATTGTTTTCTTACTTGAATTCAAGGAATCCGGGGGAGATGTTCATGGAAGTTAATGCGTGCTTTGGCAAAATGATTCTCTTGATCGTGCCAGTAACGGAAATAGATGAAAAGGCCTTCTAAGCGCATCATTTGTCATTAGTCTTTGGGTAAGATCCTTCATCCTATGTAGAAAAATAAAGATTCTCGATGTTTGATTGATTCTAGAATGCTAGAAGTACTGAATAAAAACTGATGTATATAGGTATCTGATAGCATGCCAAAAGTCATTGTATAGGTCGAGAAATGCTAAATGAAGGACCCTATATGGCGGTCCTTCTAATGTGAGGTTTTAGTTTTCTCTGCGCTCACCATGCAGTTCATGACTGCATCTAAGGTACACTTAAGAGTGAATTTAAGGTGCAAAAGGAGCACCTTAATAGGGCATGCCTTAGTATGCATACGCTACTAACTTGGGATAAAATTTGTCCAACCATTGTGTTCCACACATTTTATCTCACAGAACCATTTGCATTAGCTGATTAAGGTAACTGTATCGGTTTAGAAATGCTAAATGCAAGACCAAGCTCTTCTCCTAATGGTGTGGTCGTGAGTGAACTAGCAAACAGGGCAGAAGCCGAAGCAAAAGCATCGCAAATTATTTGGATCGATCAAGAAAATTAGAATTCGAATTTTTCTGACTATGGATCCATCATGTTCATTTGGCTTCAATCCAGGATATACCTACTCCAAGGCTAATAATAGATTATCCCAAAGAATGCATCTTGATGCTTGTAGAGTTGGTTTAGCCATCTGTCAATGCCTCAACTTTGGAAGCAAGACATATAGAATGTCTTTTGACATAATCAGCTGTACTGTGAAATAATTCCTTATATTGTGCATAATCTCTCGTTAGTGCATTTACTTGCTGAAAAGAAAAACGCAGGAAGCATTTCCATAAGTTTCCTGAGGAAACTTTTCGGTATCCTATATGCCATTTGAAAACTGTCTTGCATTAATTTTAGTGCATGAATAGCACGTAATGAAAAGAATCATACTATGTCCCACTAAAGCAAGCATCTTGAGTTGAACATACTATGCTAATTTGATCAAAGCTTCTGTGGTTGATGATGTTAGATGCCCCATTAGTTGGATCCAAAGAGTTCAAAAACAATATCGAGTTTGACAAACAAACTTTGGAGTATTATTTGTAATTTGTTGATGTTAGTCGCTGGATTGATTTCATTTGACTCACTGGCAGGATTCGGTTATCATTCCACTGGTTGATGTAAATGTTGATTTATCCAAGAGAGCTTTCGCGAGGCACTTCTAAAAGGAATGGAAATCATCAAAGGATCAAGAGCTCGATGTTTCTTGAACTTCTCCAAACTCTGACAGTGCATCCTTGGAATGGTAAAAGGTTGTTTGCCTATTGTCATTCCACATTGCCCTGTAATCAAGCCTCTCTCTCTCTCTCTCTCTCTCTCTCTCTCTCTCTCTCTCTCTCTCTCTCTCTCTCTCTCTCTCTCTTCCTTATTTTCTTTCCCGCCTGTTCCTCTTCTGCAGTTTTCTCCGCATGCTCTCGGACTCGAGTGGACTTTCCTCACTCTCTCGCTCTTCCATTCTCTGTCTCTGCTCTTCAACAGCGTCCATTCCCTAACTAGCCTCAAGCTTTCCTCTGGGTTTTTGTGCTCTATCCTTTACAAGTTCTCTTTCAGCTCGCATCCTCACGATGTTCCAGCGCTGGTGCTGCATTTTCGGCTGCTTGTGGAGCTTTTTTACTATGGAGACCGACGAAGGACCGTAGCGTATGCTTCCGTTTCAGCTTCAGTTTGACAAACCGCTGGCTTCTGTGGTTTGGCTCCCGGTGTTATCTTGCGACAAAATGGGTGCTGGACTTGATTGTTACGACTCAGTTTTGTGAAGTCTGCTTGATATCCGATTGGCAGGTGAAGATGGCGAAGTGGAATCCAGAGAAGGATTTGCTGGTGATGGTCACGGAGGACTTGAAGGTGGTCCTTCATCGCTTCGATTGGCAGAGGCTGTTGGACAGTCTCCCTTGGTAATTGCTTCGACTAGAGAAAGTTCTCTTTTTAATTCAGCATGTTCGTTGCTTCAACGATGGCTTGGTGCGCCCTTTGAGTCATTGACCTTATCTCGTTTTACTTCTTTCGCTTTTCCTAAATGTGCTCTGCTTCCGTTTCCAGAGAGGAACCTCTGTAATTGCCAATCTAGCTCGATTTGCGTTCGATGGAGAATTGGACAAATATAGAGGTGAAGCGCTTGCAAGTCTGAATGAGAACATGATGTCGAACTAAGGAGTTGGTGTTTTACAGAAAAACGAAGAGTGAACGAAGGTGATACAAGTGGAAATCTAGAGATGACTTAGTTGCAAATAAAGAATTCCAAGCTGATATCAGTTGAATGGAGGGACTTTTAGTTATAGGCGCGATAGATTCCTATCAAATTTCAGACAAAGTGCCTTGCGAAATTTTTTCCCTAACTTAACCGACAGTCTTATAGACCAACCGGAAGTGTACCATACTGCTGTATTGCCATCTTGTTTCCCTTCTGGGGTACACCAGTTGAAGTGTCCATGAAAATAAAGAACTTGAATTTTAGGGGATGTCATTTGTGCTAGATAGACTAGCTATGTCAGATGCAGAAATGCTGGATGCCCGCATGGAGTTGGTAGGTTTAGGCCCTGCAAAATACCATCTCAGTGCTGTCAGGCCTCTAAATAGTTTTTCTTAGATTTCTAATGCTGACTCTCACAATGTAATGCTACTTCTGGCTCTTCTTCTTCCTCTTTTATACTGATTGAGCGTTCCCTACAAGGAGATACTTAATATATACTAGATTGTAGAGTATAGGCTGGAAAGTTTCTAAAATTTTGTACTACCTGAAGTTAATTATCTTCTTCTGATTACAGACAGTCATTTCGTCGCATCATTTTGATTTATCAAGTTCGCTGGTGGGAGTTGAACTTACTTGTTAATAGGATATCTCAAGCTATGCTGCATGCTTGTATGACAATCTGGTTGAGAGGGATGGAGTTACGAATTGGAGAAAGCGCAGAGACTAGGAGTATAGAGGGAGCTGCATCCAAGTATGTTAAAGTTCTTATATGACTTGGTAATTCAAATTCGTAAGAGCTTAGGATTAGATGCCTAGCCTTAGCAGTTCTTGCTATCTATTCTCACTGGAAAAATTTAAAGGGGAGGCATTTTTTCTCCAGAAACATCTAAATGCTTCACGCATCATATAGTCTTCTGGATTTGGAGAACATGTTGAGTGCACCATAATACTTGAGCCAACCCTTGAATGGTTTCTGTTGAGACCCTAAGTTGTAGGTACTAGTACACTAGTGATCCTTGCCTGAAGTAAGTTTTCATGGATCCACTCCACCTCGCGGTTCCAAGGCGGAACAACAAGATTCGTTTTTGGATTGAGATAATGGATTGGAGGCTGCCAAAAAGATATAGATTCCCCTCACTTTAGATGACCTACTAGCCCAAAGAAATCCCATATTAAGTGATTGATATCTCTCTCAGTTATCTTGTATTGTTATGACGCTTTGCTTCAATTCACAAATTTTGATTAACATTTTCTTGTTACTGTGCGTTCTCCATCTTCCGTCTCCTTCTATTAATTTTATTGTGAAGAAATTATTCATTCTTTCTCTCTCTCTCTCAATGTCGTTATTTTTGTTGTTTTTTATGAACCCACTTTTCTTTGCACATTCATTGTCTTCAATACTGGCTTCTCTTAATTAATCTAATCTACTCCAGGTAAATGTATAACATCACCATGCTGGGGTCCTGATGGCAAGGTTGTTTGTCTTGGGACTTGAAGATGGTACGGCTTCACTGCATGATGTAGAAGTAAGTTTTCCATGCTATTGCTGTAATGATACTCTCATTACTTCTCAAAAAGAAATTTCTCCTGCAGGAATCCTTTATCATCAGAATGTGTTCTCTGATCTCTCTTGGGAAATGTTCTGAATTGCTTAAAAGCTGCATGATGCAATGCAAATAGAAAGCTTGTGGAATGAACAATTAGCTGCTAATAGAGATGGCAATCCATGTTTACTGGTCATGTTTGCCAATGTCAAGTTAATATGGACTGTTAGATAGATCAATCTGCGCAGGATAAGCTTAACAAATCTTATTAGATCATTGAACATGGCCCATTTTTTAAATAGGTCAATATGAGGAGATATATAGCCTGTTTAACTAAATAGATTGAGGGGGTCATTCCAATCCAAACATGACCGACATAGCATAACTAATACAATATGTACAATGTGCATATCTTCATCAATGTTAAAACCTTAACCTTACTGGGTCCTGGGTTTACATAAAATCTTGTATTTGTATGGTGTAATTTGTGATCAATACTAAAACACGGCAGACGTAAATTAATTGTCAAGTATGATTTTCTTACTTTTAATATTAAGTAGTTCCAGAACCAATGATAAAGATATTTAAAATTAAACTGATTTTATGATTTTTAGACATTAGATATTCTACAAATTATTCTTCCTTTGTCAAATAAGTACCACATTTAACTGCAAGGACACAAAGATTTTGTAAATTGGATTCTAATTTATAGAGTTTAGTGTAAGACAATCAAAATACCCACTAAGCCTGATGCAGCCAACAAAATCAAGCAAGGTGATATTTGTTCTAATATTGCCGTTTCTACCATGCTATTGGTAAAGATGGACTTTGCAACTCAAACAAGAGTTCTAGAAGGATCAAGATTCTTCTTGAAATTTAATGGGATAAGTGCATTAAAAGTCCTAAAACTTATCATGAAAGTGCAATTTAGTCCTAAAACTTTCAAAAAGTACAATTAAGTCCTAAAACTTATCACGAAAATACAATTGAGTTCTAAAACTTTTAAAAAGTGCAATTAAATTCTAAAACTTTCAAAAAGTACCCAAGTGAAAAGAGTATGTATCTTTCAACTTATAAGTTGATAGAACTCTTGATCTTGATTCTTATTGGACAATATTTTAGGGTTCATATTTTACATGTTATTTCTAATTATTTGTTCGCAGTTAAGTTTCAAATTTAGAATCTTATTTCACAGTCCAACAGCTTTACCATGGGTGTACGGAAGATTTTTTGAAAACCTTATGTTTGGTGTCATTTTTGACTTGTTGATTTGCTGATTGTTGACTCCTTAGCTTTAATTTCTCCTTATATTTTTTTTTCACTTTTTTTACAATTGAGAAGATAATTATTCATTGTTTTTTGTTTTATCATAGGACGCTTCAGGTAACTCTTTGGCATTTGAAGATCACACTACTTGTTTCTTCCCTCCATCTCCGAGAGTTCCTCACATGCTTGGACTAGTACCCAGAGACATTGGTTTAACTGACGATAGTAAAGATTCATTCGTAGAGCTCTCAAATTCTTCAAAGCAACGTTTCATTATCCTTGGCAGTGGAGATAAAGATGGGATTTTGTGCTTCAGTATATTTGGTGTCTTTCCAATCGAAAATGTTGTATGCCACCTGTCTGTTCAGTTCGAATATTTAGCATTGTGGTCTATCAAATTCAGTCAATTAGCACTTCTTTCTTTGTTCGTGCTTCTCATACAGCAGTCTTTCTTATTAAATGGATTTGATAGCATACTGGCAGTGAATCAGTATTGCCTGGAAAATAATGGGCTGGTTAAGTAAACAACTTATATGAAGCTTTTTGTTGTTTGGCCTGAGGTCAGCCTGACTTATGGACTTTCTGCTTTTGTTTTAGACTCTTGGGTTTCTGCTCTGTTCTGGGGATATTGAGAGAGACTATGCAATCATCGGTTGGGAAAGTGTTCTGAGAGTGGGCACGCGCATAGATAGTTCTCTCTGGGGTAACCATCAGCAGATTTAGAATTTTAGGTACACGGAACTTTCCTGCACAGGTATATGTAAATAAAACAAACTTGATGAACTTCTTAACCTAAAATTGATTAGTCTAGAACGTGCATGCAGGAGAATTGTTCTAGTAAGTATTATCTAGATTCTGCTAGTTGTCTCTTTAGTTACATGGAGCAAGTTCTTGTAATTTCTTGTATGAACTCTCCCATATGGACTTCCTCGGGCCCACTGTTCTATTACCACATCTACAAGTGTGGACTATAGTTTCCTAATGGAAGGTTTTTTAGATCTATATACAAGTTTGTGTATTGTCAATGCTTATTTGATCAAAATGTCGGACTTGGTGAGCTATCTAAAATCAATCCCAAAATCTATGTGCTTTCCGTAGAGCAGGTATTGCACTTTAAGATGAGGTATTTTAGATGGAAAATTAAACATCATTGATAGGAAAATCTCTTGTTATGAAAATGAATGTAGCTCATTTGGTTCAATATTGAGCCTCAGGGTTGCTTTTTCTTGTTTTTCCTTTGCAAAAATATGCCCCATTAGTTGGATCCGAAGAGTTCTAAAAGAATATTGAGTTTGACAAACAAAGATCCGTAAACTTCGGAGTACTATAAGTAGTTCGTTGATGTTAGTTGCTGTATTGATTTCATCTAACTCACTGGCAGGATTCGGTTATCATTCCACCGGTTGATGTAAATGCCAAAATATCCAAGTGAGCTTTCGCAGGGCACCTCTAAAAGGAGACAAAATCATCAGAGGATCAGGAGCTCGATGTTTCTTGAACTTCTCCAAAGTCTGACAATGCATCCACGGAACGGTAAAGGATGCTTGCATATTGTCATCCCACATTGCCCTGATTTTATTTAACAGAAGCTTGGTAGAGCTGAAACTGTCCATTAACTTAAGAGGTTTATGAAATACTGGAAGTCGAACCAACTAGTTTGATATAATGGTCAATGAATCGGACAGTTGTATTTTAAGTTGGTATCGTAGTTGACACCTGTATGGAGGTCTATTGGAGTCTTTATTCAGAGAGAGTTGTTTGTGATTCAGGTTTGGATCTTCATGCTAAAGTGGAAGCAATCCGATGCTTGCTAGCTGAAGTTTGTGGGGTTGATAAAGAACTTACAGGTTCTTACTAGGGAAGCTGCTGTCAGAGTTTGCTTGGAACAGTTGTATCCCCTGCGGTCAAAGGTCTCGAAATAAAAGTTTTGCGAGGCTGAGATCTTATTGCTGTTGATTTTGCTATTAGAATGATGGAGGTTCGTTGGCTGGGTCCGCCCCTTTGTGGGGTTCAGCTAACATAACATAAAAGAAGAAGGAAAAGGCCAAAAAGAAAAAAAAGAGAGAGGGGCTGTTCGTAAAGTGAAGAGTGGAGAGGGGGAGAGAGCGAGCGTTACCCGAGAAGAATGCAGGAGAAGAAGAAAAGGGGCAGCAACTTTCCGGTCCATACTCGAAGGCCAAACATTGTAGGAATTAGCTCAATTTTCAGAATGTTGTTTGTCAGACCAAGACCTATGAGTTGATCGGGTTTGTTCATTGAAAACCTCCAAATTGTCTCTCATTTTCTCCAATCGCGGTTAGGGTTTTTAACTCTATTTTTATTAATTCACCTTCGTGGTGATGAAATAATGTTGTAGTTGAGCCTTCAGTGCGTGACTATGGAAGAACAATTGTGTATCCTACTATTCTTAATTATTAGTGAAAGTATTTGAACGGTTCGTGATTTTTTCCCGCATTGGGTTTTCCACGTAAAAATATTGGTATTATTGTTACATTGTCTCTTTAACATTACATCAGAATTATATTTACTTATTTTAAAGTTTTATTGCTAGAATATACTGCGGGTTGTTGTTGGGTTAAGTTGATTTTGGTCGGTTTAGTTTTAGAAAAGAAATTGATCATGGATTGGATTAGTTCTTGGTGAATTGTCACCAGGTAGAACCAGAGTAGAAAATGTTTCTGGTGTGAAGAACAAGGTAGCCAGAACCCAATTGATGTGCATTTGAGACCGTGCTTCTGTTTGGGATATTGAAGCTCTGTTGATGTTGTTTTAGCTTTGTAACAAAGAATTAGTTTTCATAAAAGGAAAAATATAAATGGTCTATGAATTTTAATTCAAGATGCAACGACAAACATGAATTTTTAATTTGTTCAATGTACAATATAGCCCTTAGGCTATATGAAAATATTTAATGTCGTCCTTCCGTTAATTTAAGTTTAATGAAATTTGCTGATGTGCCTTCCAATCTGTTGTAAACCAAAAGAATAAAAAAGATAGTTACATGTGGACTGTCCACATTAGTTTTCATCTCATAATATAATAATCAACGTTATGAAATATACGTCATCAAATAGTGTCTTATTATTTTTAAAAGGGTTAATATCATGAAAAATCCCAAACTAATATATTTGCGATAAATTTATCCCAAACTAATTTTTTTATCACCAAAAATCCAAAATTAGTACATTTGTGACAAATTTACCATTTGTTAGTTTCTATTAGATTGGATTAATATCACGTAAAATCACAAATTGATAAACAAACAAGCGGTAAAACTATCAATTGTCCCGTGTTTCTGACCAAAAACAAAAAAATTGCCACGTGTCATCCAACCAAGTAATTTGATAGTAAAATTTAACGGACACTTACAAAGGATAAATTTGTCATAGATGTACCAATTTAGGGTTTTTTGTGATAAAAAAAATTAGTTTTGGATAAATTTATCGCAGGTATACCAGTTTAGGATTTTTCGTGATATAAACCCTTTTTTTTTAAAAGATTATCGTCATCGAATAAAGTTTAACTAATCGTTTTTATACGTCCAACTCGGCATACAATAATCCACTTCATCAAATAAAATAACTACATTGAAAATTTATCAATTGTTCATAGATCACATTGAATAAATTAAAAGTTTAGGGACAATATTTACATGGTGGGCCAAAGTTTGGGGACTATTTGTGTTGCTTTCTCCTCATAAAACATGCAATCTTAGAATCCAACTAACATCACAGTTTTCAAAAACAAATGTCTAATAATTTGTCTCGTTCCTTGTCGTTAACTCAAGTAGTCCTCGTGGAATCGATGATCGCATTCGATACCCAATTAATATTAGGGAGATTCATGTACTCTCTTAATGCCTTTTCTTGTCATATTATTTCTCCCATTGTGTGCAAGGGATTGCCTAAATGGAAAGTCGATTTTGATCAATTTGATAGTGAGAGCTCGATTTGATAACTGATGCACAAGAAATGTGGGCCACTGTGGTTGCAAAGTAAAACCGACACTTCAATTTAATGCTTTTTCCAGCGCTGCTGCTGCATTTTTGGCAGCTCGAGGAGCTTTTTAGCTATTGAGATTGACGAAGGACTGCGACGTGTGCTTCCGTTTCAGCTTCGGGTTGGTTCAGCTCCTGTCAGTGCTCTTTTGTGACCTAATGGGGGGTCGACTTGATTGTTCCGATTTGGTTTTGTGAACTTTGCTCGATTTGCGATAAGCAAGTGAAGATGGTGGAGTGGAATCCCGCGATGGAATTGCTGGCGATGGTCACGGAGGACTCGAAGGTTTGGTGTGCCTTATTTTTTATGAGAGCGCTTCTATTTCAATTAACAGGAAAAATCATTGTGAGGCTATATTCCAACCTTCTTAGGGTGGAAATGCCATGTTTCTCGCAATGACAACAACTAAGGAGTGAGAATTTTTAACAGCATATCATTAGTTTCAACTGGCCAACATCTATCAATCACAAGCCATTTCAAGTTTCTCGAATAAATGTTGATGTGGTCCCTCCCTACGCGTGCAACTTTCGAACTTCGAGTACTCAAGAATAGGGCTACCACCCATCAAAATCTTCTTAATCAGGTCATCACTCACCTCTACCTAGAAGATGGACAAAAGACTTGCGCAAAGTCTAACCATTCCTAACCGTCTAGCTTTGATATCAATTGTTGAGTATAGAAACATGACTTTGTTAGTAAACTGAGAAGATTACAGTAAACAACTTAAAGCACACTTACACCAAAATGTGGTACTAATATAATACTTTGATGAAATCTCCAAAACTATTGTACACTATATATGGAGCAAAAGACCACACCTCACCATTACAAATTAATTTCTTCCGCCACGTACAAAACACTTATACAAAAACTTACTCTCTAACCCTTTATTTTCCCCTCTCTTTCCCTCACCAAGCAAACTCTCTTTCCCTCTTACTCTCAAGCTTGAGAAAATATTGAATAGGATTGTCTTGCCAAGTCAGCAATGTGCCACTTCATTCATTGGGCGACATGTGGCAAGGTGGGTCTTACTATGCAACTTTACTCTCTCCTAGTCATGGCCACGGGCCGATTTCGGCTTGGAACCGGCCCGGTCAAACCCGGGCCCGGCCCGTTGATTGGGCCCGCGGTTCAGAATCGGAATCGGCCCGTGGCCTACGGGCCTGGTTCCGATTCCAGCAATTTTGGAACCGGCCCGGAACCGGCAGTTCTGGGCCCGGTTCCAAAAAAAAAATTAAAAATTTAAATAAATAAATTTAAAAAATAGAAAACCTGTAGCAGGGCTTGCACGTCTGCAGGCCTTGCTGCGGCCTGTTGCCAGGGCAGCCTTTGCAGGCTGCCCTGGCAACGGGCAAAAATAAAATAAAAGTAAAAAAAATAAAAAAATAAAAAGATAATCGGAACCGGCAGGAACCGGAACCGGCCCGGAATCGGAACAGGATCGGAACCGGCCCGAAATCAGATGGTTTCGGTTCCGATTTATACATGGCCACGAACCGAAACCAGTAGTTCCAAATTGGAATTGCCAGTTCTGAACCGTTGGCCATGACTACTCTCTTCCCTCTGTTACTCTCTCTTACTCACTTTTCTCCCCACCTTTGTTCTCTCTCGCATCAACTTTTCACCATCTTCTTTTTTGGCATACATACGTATGCACGCCACCGCCATAATCAACCCACCGTTGGTAACGGAGGAAGAGAGTAACAAAGGAGAGAGAATGAAGGTGAATAGTGGGCACTATATGGACAAGTTTCAAGTGTTGAATGAAGGTGAATGGGCACTAACTTGGCAAGATAGTCCTAACTAATATTTTCTCTCAAAGCTTAGGCTTCGTGACTTGCTCCCAAAACTCCACATAAAACTCTATAACTGAGCCGCGCCTTGACATGATTAGTAGTTTGGCAGGCTAAGACCCAGGCCCAGAGAGGCATTGTTGAGCGTTGCTTGACAAGGCTATTTAGTTGTTAAGCTCGGCCTGGACCGTTTGAGCCTATAGTAGTTCGTTGGGTCATCTCATATGTTCTTTTTAGGGAAAATTGTCCAAAAAGTTCTAAACTTATTGCATTTTTGCCAATTTAGTTCTAAGCATTTTGCATTTGTACCAATTCAATCTATCAAGCCAACTTTAGCTGGCCGGCACTAACGTGGACATCGGCCGGTGCCGACCATCGGGGCAACGCTGATGTGATAATTTTTAATATTTTTCAAAATTATTTATTTTTTTCTTTTCTTTCTCTTTTTTTTTTCTTTCCTTCTTCACTTTGGCCTATCAAGCCTCACCGGCCTCTAGTGAAGCTTGCCCCATCAGCCATTGGTGAGAGTGAGTCTTGCCTGCCCTTGGCTAGGTGAGGTGGAGGTGAAGCTCGTCCTTGCCCTGTCGCTCGGGGGTGAGGTCGAGCCCCGCCCAGCCAAGGCAAGGCTGACCTTGCCATCGCTGGGTTCCACCTTGCCCAACGACGGAGAGGTTGAGCCTTGCTCAGCCAAGGGTAGGCGAAGCTCGCCCTTGCTAGTGGTCGGCGAGGGCGAGCTTCCCCAAAGGCCGGCCCTCGCCTCTGGCTAGTCGGCATCTACGTCAGTACCAGTCGGTCAAAATTGGTCGAATGGATTGAATTGGTACAAATGCAAAATATTTATGATTAAATTAGCAACAACGCAATAAGTTTATGACTTTTTAGATAAATTTTCCCGTTCTCTTTACACGATGAACGAGTCCGGAGAAAAAGTTAAGCCCGACTAATGGCCCAATCCGGCCCAGCTTGGCCCGCCCATTAATCAAGTAATGTCCGCCTCCTCTCCTGTAGTCAAATCTCTCTCTCTCTCTCTGTCCTCATTTTGTTTCCCGCCTGTTCGTTCCTCATTTCTGCAAATTTCTCTCTCTGCAAATTCTCTCAAAGACTCCACTGGGACTTCCTTCCTTTACTCTCTCTCTCGCTCTTCCCTCTTCCATCCTCCTTCGTCTCACCTCTTCGACCGCCCTCCGTTCCCCTAAGTAGCATCGAGCTTTCTTCTATCCTTCACTAGCTCTTCCACTCTCTAAGTTCGCATTTGCCGCCGACGCTTCTGTACATTCCCTCGCGGTTCGCTCCAGTGGCTGGTTTCCGGCTGCTCCCGGAGCTTTTTGAGGTAATGGAGACCGACGAAGAAGGGTCGCGGCGTGCGCTTCCGTTTCAGCTCCAGTTCGACAAGCCGCTGGCTTCTCAGGTTCGGCTCCCCCGTCCGGGCGTTCTTTTCGCGACCTCCTAATGGGCGTGGCCGATTCAATTGTTTTCCGACTTGGTTTTGTGAGGTTTTTTCTGGGTTTCATCCGATTGGCAGGTGAAGATGGCGGAGTGGAATCCGGAGAAGGATTTGCTGGCCATGGTCACGGAGGACTCGAAGGTCGTGCTTCATCGCTTCAATTGGCAGAGGCTGTGGACCATCTCTCCTGGTAATTGCTTC